AGTATTTATCTGACCCAAGCCTGGTCGCGTGAGAATGCTTCAGAACTGAGAGTTGGACATCATGGACTTGACAGGTACATTGTACTGTACATACAAAATGGTACATACAAAATGATACATTGTGGCACACCACAGCATAGCTTCCAGGATGTATACCACAGCCATCAAGATTACATTCTAAGACTATCCCTTTAAGTATAAGTGGAACCATTTTAACACAGCACCCTCAATCCTTATCTCACAGAGAGGGTCTACAAAAATACCATGATCAAAACCTGTTGAGAAATCAAGCAGATTCAACAAAGTCACACATTCCTGTCTCTTCTGCAAGAGTTCATCTACAGCTGAACACAGATTGAAAGGGGTTTGACATAAACACATCCAATCAATCAATCAATCCAATATATATAAAGCTGCATAGCTATTACCCTCTGAAGCACACTGTCCCCCAAAAAGGTATTGTAACTGGACAATAATTTACAAAGTCCTCTGGATCCAGGGAGGGTCTCTTCAGCATTAGTCAAACCACAGCTTCTTTCAAGGCTGGTGTGATGTATTTACTACTCCCAAGATCCCCCAGTAAACTTCCCTTAGCTAGTTCCAATGAGCCAAATTAGGCAGGGGTCAAGAGAGCATGTGATAGGACAAATAACTGTAAGCATCTTGTCCATATACTCAGGCCTCATAAACTGAAAGTGATTTCACATAATTGAACCAGATCACTTACTGAATAACTCAGCAAACATTACATTAAAAAAAAAAAGTCTGGCATGAATCCAAGTTCTCTCATCCTTAAATTGCCTTGTAAATCTATCTCAGTAGGTATTTAAGGCTCCAACACTGGGCTTTCTGGGACAGATAAAAAAAATCCCTCCATCCCTCTGCAGGACTACTTGAGGTTGCAATTGAGGCTTAAAATAAGTCTTTTCATCTTCAGTGCCATGCAATAGGTTCAGTTACAAAGACTAAGGTATGTTCAGTCAGCTTTGTGACAAATCTTATACCATTTGTGCTCTATTTCCTGGCCTATTTCACTGCATGAAGATCCCCAGAGAACAAGGAGAAGCCTTAACTCTCAGTACCAGGGAGGGCTCTCAAAGGTAATAATGACAATCTGTTTCCTCATTCCATTTGTTAACAAAATCACTGGCTGTGACCACTGGAAAATTGAATTTTCAAAAGCCAGAAATTCAGTAACTGAATTATTGAGACATAAGACCAATTCAGCCATGGAACCAGTTATTCAGAGGTGATGGGTTTTCTTTCACTGCCTGTGTTCAAACAGAGGGTAGGGAGAATCAACTGACACAGATGCTTTAATCTGGATTCCTATATGCATGGAGCAGGGGTTGGCAACCTGTAGCCCGCCAGCCAAAATCATCCATGATCCCCAAAAGAAATATATTCATCTGGCCCATGAGAAAGAGATAGACAGTGCTCCTGCCTCCTCAGGCGGCCATTTTATCAATGGCTTCATCAGCCACCTTGGGGTGGGCAGAGCAACAAGTCCCCCAGAAATGACAACAGCACGGTCTCTGATCCCTACATTGAAGAAGATTGCCAACCCCTAGCCTAAATGGTCTCTTTCAATTCTGGGATTTGAATTGCAGAATGTTAGATTCTGTTATTTTAAGATGAAGTGGTATACTTCAGCGGTTTGAGCCCAGCTCCGTGAGGCAGAGTGAGCTCCTGTCTCATCCCTAGCTTCTGCCAATCCAGCAGCTCGAAAGCATCCATGAGTAGATAAATGGTACTCTCACCCCGGTGGAAGGAAAAACGCTGACAGCGCCTTGTATGGGAGACGGGACCAGTTGCTGGTAACGTGGAAGTTGCGTACGTCCAAAAAAGATGCAAAGCAACGGAAACCCCGCCTTCCTGCGCCCACCAGCTGGGCTCTGCTCTAGGAAGGAGGCAATGGCAAACCACTTCTGAAAAAACACTTTGCCATGAAAACTGCAGGGACTCGTCCAGGCAGTTGCCACAGAATCAGTCACGATTGAGTGCAGGGAGGAAAAAAAAACTGTGTACCACTATGAGTTCAAACTAGTTACTTTTGTTAAAGTACCACACTTAAAAACATCCCTGAAATAATAGAGAACACGTCTCTTCTTTTCTGTGATAATTTACATGAAAAACAACTACAGCCAGAAGTGATATAGTTCATACATTTCTGCTGTAACATCTAGAGATTAAGCCTCATGCTGCCAAAACCCTTTCCCTCCATTCTATTAGATCATCTATTACCTCACACTTGCTACGAAGACCTGTCTCCTGAAGCCGTGACCAAATGCTTTGGATTCTCCCTGCGTGTTCTGGGTGACTGTTTGTGTTTCCACAGATGCACTGGTGTTTCAGCATCAAGGTGTCATATACAAGGCCTGCATCAAAGGATATGAATTAATTCAGGCTACACTCCTACTCCTACTGACAAGGTGAACAAAGTCCCCAGTGACCTTATTTCTCCATAAAGTTGATAAGGACACACTATTATTTATATATTATATATGCATATGGAAAAGTATGATTTGAAAAAGCAAATTTCAAAATAAAAATGTAAACACAATTTTAGTAAAAAAAAACCCACCACCTGGAGAGTTAAATGAGTGATAAAGAAATTCTAACTTTTTACAGTCAAATCATATCTTATTTCCATCAATTCCAGAACTTCTCTGATATTTAAATAAGAATTTGGCATTCAATGTTAATAGAAAATAAGACACAACCATTATTATTGTTTAAGGTATACAATATATTGCTTTAAGAGAATCTTATGGGTAGGCTGAGACATAATTGTTTAAACCATGATTTAGCATTATGAAAATTGTTACTCCACTTACTTCCCACCTTCTCTTTCTTGCCAAGGGCAAAAAACCTGGATAAGGCTGCATTTTCTCTGAAGGAATAGGTACAGCATTTGGGAGTTCATCTTGGATTCATGGCTCTGGCCAAGCTTTGACTGGTATGCCAACTGTGTACTGTTTAGATCAGGAGGTCCTGATGACAGTGACTCATCATGTCACTGTTACACACTGCAATACACTCTACATGGGGCTGCCTTTGAAAATGACACAGAAGCTACAGCTGGTCCAGAACACAGTGGCCTTTCTGCTAACTGATGGTAAAAGACTTAGCACTGGTTACTGACTTTTCCAGGTCCAATTCAAAGTTTTGGTTATGAACTTTAAGGCCTTACATGGGTAAGTTCCCATGTATTTACATAACTGTCTCCTCTAGCAAATTTTAACTTCCCCTATGTGTTCTTCTTGGGAGAAGATGCTGAGGGTCTGCATATACTTTTTTAGTAGATTCATAAACTGCCCAACACATATAAAGTAGGCAGCGTGCAAATGTTTATATAAACAAACAAACATAATGGCAGAGTAGGTGAGATCTATACCAATACTTTGGATTTTGCAAGTAATATGTATGAATATTCACAAAATTCAACTTTTTGAGTAATTGCTGAAAATGATTTCAAAAACCAAAATACTGGCTGGGGACCAAGGCCAGTAAACATGATTCCTAGAAAGTTTTCAAAAGTTTGCTTTAACTCATTAATTAAACAACAATTATTTGAATGTAGCTTTAAACACTTACACATTTTTATACTAGACCCTTCACTTTATATGCTAGGCCAAAATATTTTTGGATTTTACCATGCATTATCCTGAAAGACTCAATAGTCCCAGGTATACAGACTTAGAGAATTTAGTTTCTGTTGCCCCTTTCTTCTTTTTTTCTCCAACTGATCCTTGCCAGGCACTTTCACATTCTGCCAGGATGTGAGTAGGAACAAAACTGCTTATGACAACTTGGTCTCAAGAAAACATATTCTGCCTCTACAACTACTAATCAGATCAAAATTAAGACATCCAACCACCAATCAATGGACACCTGCCAAGAATATCCAACCATCACACAGAATTTAAACATACAGCAAGGCAACCCCACTTCTGGACCATTGCACTGATGAAGCTTTGCTAGAATGCTTAGCAAAATATCTGCACCATTTGTGATTTTCTTGACTCAGAGAACACCAACGAAATTATGTATAAAGAGTGGGGCTGCCATTATTCCAAGAGACTGTTTCACATATTACCTGTTGTGAACTGTGGCTTACATGGTGTCTCCTGTGTAGATAATGGAAAGTTGGCAGAAGCAGGTGATGACTGGGCTCGAGAAAGTGGCCGATGCCCACTAAAGGATACTGGAATGCCAGCAGCTTCCATGGATGCCTGATAGTTTCTGAGCTGATGAATACGTTGCTGCTCCAGTAGAAGAGTTTGCTATAAAGGAGAATAAAACATGTTATTGTTTGAAGATTTGTTTTACAAATCCCTTTTTTTTGTTTGCTTGTTAATAGTGAACAATTGCTTCATATTAGTCTACTAACCATTTGTTTTACTAGCCAATACATTCACATACATAAAAGTACACAATGATATATTTTTAAAGCCCTTTAGTAGAGTTTTAATAAACTAGTAAAAGCTGATCTTTTCTCTGAAACTGGAGAGTTGAGAGATAATTCACCCTCAACTTTTCTAAAAACAAACTGGGTACATCACTGAATTCTAAACTATGAAATATCCAGCTGAAGAGATAATGTAACTGACCCAAGAATCACCTTTGAATGATGGATCACAACTGGGATGCACTAGCAATATTTTAACCATCTTGGGGTAAAAAAGAAAGCAAAAGAAAGCAAAAGAAAGGAGAAAAATGGCAAAAGAAAAATGGATGAAAGACCGGAAAATAGTTCTAGATACATAATTAGATACAGAAAATGCAGATAACATTTTAAAAATTAAAATGAATCCCATGCTGCATATTGGGTTGAAGAAAATACTGTAGAAAGAATTAATACTACTCTAGTTAGCATGCACTTGAACATCAACCACCTTTTCTTCCTGTGACACAAATTTGACACTGAAGAGATTCTAAGTAATTCAGTCATGCTAAATGTAATTATATACAAAGTTATTTATAGCACAGCAAAGTTTTGTCCCAACTGACATGGGATTATTAATAATTCACACACATCTTTTATCCAAGTTAACTGTTTCAAGGGATGAACAGTAAAACAAAGTACAAGAGATCACGCCACCTTAATAAACACTAAGAATGGATTTGAATGTAATGCATTTCCAGGGGAAGAACAATCTTGCATTTTATATTATTTCATTTTGCAACCAAAACAGAACTGTTGCACTTCTCTATATAGGGACATCTATCATATATCCCTTTCGGAAGAGAAGGGAGAATTCTATTTCAGACGTGTAGAAGACAATTAAGAACAGAAATGGAAAGACTTGAATATGAGAAAGATGTGATCAACATTCTCACATCTATAGTAGAAGCATGCTAAATGGAGCAAACTAGGTACATCTCTTTTGAGCTGAAATTATCAAGAATCGGCATAACCTTGAATTAGTCCCATGGAGGATTCCTATCTCAGTTCTAAAGATTCTGTACTCTTGAATCCTAATTCTTGGCTTTAAAACTTTATGTGATAATGTTCTGTAGCTAAGTGACTTGACACTCATGAGTTTGAGAAATCTCTGCTAAACCATGGTTTGCTTCTCCATAGGTTTTTAAATAAAACAAATAGGTTGGGTTTGCACAATATACAATGTCAGAATAAAAAAGTCACATTCTGGCATACTACGTTGTGTGAACCCAGCTGCTGTTTCTATACAGAACTTCAGGATAATAAATGTACAAGCCTCTGGAAAATATACACTAATAAATGAATGCTGTTATTTAGGGTATTGTGTTTACCTGTCTGAAGAGCAGTTCCTGCTCTGCTTGCCTTTGTCCTGGTTCTAATTCTTGTTGTTCTCCATCTTCGTCACTTTCAGCAGGTTCTTGCTTCACATGGACCATTTGGGTCAATCCTTGAATTTCCTTCTGATTTGCTACCCTGTCAATATATTGGTCTTCCAAAAATGCTTGATGTTCTCTTAATTCTTCTTCAGTCTCTTCAGGATGGCTTTCATGCTGACGGGAAGCCTCATTTGATTTTGGCATCATCTGAAAGAAACTCAAAGAGTCAGAGCACAGTTCTTTTGAAAAGACAATGGAAAACTATCAAGACACTGAAATTCCTTTTTAAAATATAACAACCTAAATTTTATACTTCGCTTGATTAAATTTTAGAAGTTTAAAATTTCTAAGTCATACACGTGACAGATTATTTTTAAACATGGAGGCACAGCGAAGTATATCAATTTTGCATTGGATTAACAATGAGACTGCATTTATGAAATAAAGCCAAGTTAATAAATGCTTAATAAAAATAAATACTAAATATAAAGACACTCGTTTAGTCACTATAGTATAAAATGGTTTTCACTCCTGACCTTAACAAAAACTTGAGGATCACAATAAGTCTCAAAATAGTTTTGACTATCCCTCAGAACAAAACTAAAACCAAATCTACCTCAATATTGTCCTAGTTTTTGGCAATATTGTTATTTATTTACTTATTTAAAATATTTATATGCTACTTATCTTAAAAACCTCAAAGCAGGTGGGGTAGTCTCAAAGCTTGAGTGTAGAGTAATAAATAAATTATTTTAATGCAAGGGTTTTCAAACTTTTAAGATATTATGACATCCTAAAACGCTCCCTTTCCCTCTGCCTTAAGCAGAGTGTACATCAAGTCAGACAGAAAGAACTCTGCATAGAAGCCTCATAACCTCCAGGCATGATTACTCCTTTGAAAGGTAAACACGGTGTGTTCAAATCAACCAACCCACTGGGGCTTCATGAAAAGCTATGGGATCTGAAGTTCCTTTGCATTCAGGATATATCAGACTGCTAAATCTGCTTGGAAGAGTGTAATGAAGACACTGTCTGGTGACCCTGCATCCCCTGCTTAGAACTTCCTGTAGGGTCACAGCCCATACTTTGAGAAACTCTGTTCTAATTAATGATAAAATTCTATCTATCTATCTATCTATCTATCTATCTATCTATCTATCTATCTATCTATCTATCTATCTATCTAAATATTTGACTAGGTTCAAGAACTTTTTCTATTTGTTTCTCCTGCCATAGATTTCTACTTATAATTTTTATGCGGTTTATTAAAATCAACTTCATTTGACCACACTGAGGTTCATCTCCCTTATAACTTTACATTATTCCTCCCAATGTTTCTATTACTTCCATTTCCTCAATTAAGATTCCTCTAATTCATTTTGAAAAATACTGAGAAGTCAGAGGACAGTCTTTCTTCAGTTCCTAATATTACAGAAAGAAAAGATGGTCCTTATGGAATAGTTCTGTTTTATGGACAGAAAGCAACTATTTTGCAGAAGTTTAGCGAGCGTAAAGAATATTTCAATGGGGACAACAAATCTGCAAAGAAAAAAAAACTAGGCAGAGTCCTGGTTTAAATGAAAAGATAAAACAAAATTCGGCATAAAGAATATGTCAGGTCTTTGTGTCAGTTTATCCCTACGGAGTGCCAAGAAGGAGGATCTAAAGTACAGAGCTCACTCCTTCTCTGAGACAAAATAACCACCTCAAGGAAGACTGTGCCAAAATAACTGCAACAAGAGTATCTTGCCAGTACTTCAAAGGGGGACTGGAAGAGTAATTTGTAGACACTGTATTCATTCTTTAATTCTTTGGGGATACAAGAATGCCGAAACACTCTAAACTGGAAAAAAGTACACAGAGATAACCGCAAAGAACATTTTCAATGAAGAAGAAAAATAATCCTTGTGGGGTAGAAAAGATAAAGTGCAGTCCAAGTTACACATAGACAAGGGCAATCCTTATACTGTGCAAAAAGAGATAATTTCCTTTAGGAAGCATCAGTTTTTCTAGTAGTAAGCCACCAGACACAAAAAGCTATACCCTAGACTACTGGTCTACAGGAAGTCAGGGTCAGATAATCCTATGAGGTTGAGGAAAGGAAGTTATAGCAGTTTTACCAGGCCATTGTATAGGCTGAGATTTCCTGAAATTGCTGGAGATCGTAATTAGGTTCACCCTGATGGAGAGGTAGTAGAGTTCCAGTAAAAGGAACTAAAGCTTAGCATAGCCACAGGCGATCAAGATGTAGTTGGCTCCTGATTTTTGTTGTTATCCTGACTAGCAGAGGAACTGGAGGAGTGAGGATAAATATTGGGGCTCCCCAATGTAATAGAAATGTGTTACCCATGGAAAGTTCATCTTTTGGTTTTACTAAAAGTTCATCTGAGATCGTAAAAACATCAGTTGAAATAGGTAATTGTATCCAACTCTGCTGACGGAACAGTTAGGGCAGTTCACTACTCTTTAGTTCCTGCTTGTGGGATGATTCATACGAGTGGCTTAAACAGTCTGTTAGCCCAGTGGATGTTTCTTAGGTGGATCCCCAAACTTTGGACCATTCCTTCAAACCTTGTGTTGAGAAGTTCAGTTGATTTTGTTCCTCTGTGTTGATGTACAAGACAACTATTGGGTTACCTGAGGTAATTTTGTACGTGATCCTGAAACTGGAATTTAAGGATGAGATAGCTTTGAAGAAAACAATTGTGTGGATGTGAAGGTATCTATTAGACTGTGACTGGAAGCTTCAGATGATAAAGAACAGATGTGCACATCACCTAGCAAAGTAGATTTAACTGCCTATTTTCAGAATAATATACTTACCTCTTGAATCAGGATAGAAGCAGCTGATGTGCAGTAAGGCCTCCTTCAAGTGATAAAGTGTGAAACTGAGTATAGTATCACATAAAGCAATCATGAGGACTCATCTGTTGAAAGGTATCTTCCCAAACACAGGCCAGACAGCCAGTAAGTTGGGAAGTGTTTGAGTTCTGAAGTCAAAGACGATGACTGGACTGCTGGAGGACTTCTTAAAAGGCTGACTGCCAGATTTTGCAGAATAAAGGAAGTATCTCTTCATGCCCTGAGAAGAGGAAAAATGAAATGATTTGTCAGGGCACCGGGAGAACCAGCTCTTGGTAGAGAGGTTGATATCAAGAGCTGGCCTGTAAGTAGTTTGAAGCCAATGGTTGATCCCAAGCCTCCTGCTTATCTTCTTCTGTTTATGGAAGTTAACTACTATATTGCCACTTTTAGAACTGACTAGCCCTAATCCCTGAAAAAGGGAAGTTTGCTATTCCAAAGCCTGTCTCTGTGGTTAACTCTAATGATCATAGGCATGCATAGTGTTGAAGTGCCACTGCCACAGTCTTAGCACTACATTCACAGAATGGAAGAGTTGGAAGGCATCCTAGCAGTCATCTACTCCAACACCCTGCCCAGTGAAGGAATCCAGGAATGTTGTGCTATGCTAATTTGCTGCTTTATCATCTGAGTGACCTCAACCTGCAAGACCCACATTATCTGCCATTTATGCACAGGCAAATTGGGGATAGAAGTGGGGGCAAGTGACCTTTTCACTAAGGAAATGCCGTACGAGTCTAATGGTTTACAATCTAGAAGAATATATCATGGATCTTTCTTCCCATATTGTCCAGCTTCCTGCTCTCCTTATCAATGGGTACAGGAACAAGACTGTTAAGCCTCCATTTGAATGGAATTTAGGGAACAGAACTAGAAAAAAAACAGGCAGTTGTTTTGCATCTACCCAAGCCACCATTCTTTGTGAAGTAGATGTCACAGAGCAAATGTCCATGAATACAGACTTTGCCACTGACTGCCTTCCAATGAAACTCCAGTAATGGTGTGCAACTTTAGCCAAGATAGTATTTTAGGAAAGTGGACTGATAGATATGATAGGACTGGGTTGCTGGGTAGAAAGAACAAGATCTGAAGGCCCAACAGATGTCCTCATGCTATTCTAAGAATTGGGGGACAATGGAATATCTGTTCCATTGCTGGGGTGGAAATAATTGATGCCAAGAGATAATAGGCTAGTGGTAAGAGACAAGTGATCTATCAACCCCAAAGAGTGAAGACCAGAAAATTATGGAGTTCTGCCACTATCCCTAGTTAAAAATAGTGGCTATATACATTATCATAGATCTCTGTTTCCAAAAATGACTATAAGCAGAGAAGTCCTGGTAGAGTGACCATCATAAAATCACAACTTTCATGTGGGAATGGGTGAACTAAGTAGAGGAACTAAAAGCACTAATCTTAGCAGCAAAACTGTTGAAGGCACTGGATTTAAATTTTGGATTGGTGATGAAAATGAAGATCAAGATGCTTGGGGGGGGAGAGTAATAGGAAAGTTGCTTTGTAGGCCTGTTGCTATCCTGTCCCCACAGGAAGAGACTGAAGAAAAGATTATCCTATTACCCAAGTAATAAGTGAGAAGAAGGAAATGCACTGCCTGCCTCTGCAAAACAACTTCCCTTGAAGGATTAGGCCTTTGATTCTGTGCCCTTGGCAGAGGCTATCTACCCAGGATTGCATTCACTTGGAGCTCAAAGGAGCATTGCCCCTGTGCAGCAAGGTTTCTGTCAGGAGGCTCAGTGGTCAAGGAGCAAATCACTCTGGTTTGCCTCTGTAGAGTCACGTGGGTAATACAGACAAGTGGGATTTTTAATGGAAGTGGAATTTGGACTGCTGGTTCTATCTGGGGCTACTCTTAAAGATGGGCTGAGAAGACAGTGAGAGTGAGGAATGGGATATAGCCAAGAACAAATACTGAAATATTAACTAGCAGAGGAGATGTGGTGAGGAGCTGCAATCTGGTTGTTGTGGGGAAAGGAGAAAAGGCCCAATTGTTCCTTTTACCTTCAGGTTTCAGTCTATCTAAGCAACTCAAGGCGATAGAGATTGTGGCCATTAAAAATCCTGTTCTTCAATGCTAGGGCAGTTGTTGGCAAGACAGCTATAATCCAGGATTTAATCCTAGGGGAGAGTGCTGACTAGGATTGTATTACAGGAACCTGCTCTACCCACAAGGCTATTCCATAGGACAGCAGGTTAGGACTAGAGGATGGAGTGATTGAATAGCTATGGTCCACAGCAATATCTTCGCATTGGCCAGATGCTTTATCTGACAGTTTGGCAGTTTTGGGTGCATGTTGCTGCACTTGGGTGGCTAGGACACTGTAAGC